CCCCCCCCCCCCCCCACACACACACACACACATACCCACCAGACACATTTCTATACTGTAAAACACTTGTCACACACACATCATTCTTTTCCGAAGAATATTTAGTTGTGGACAACTACAATGACAAACCAAGCAGTTCTGGAACAACTCAAACTGAAATACTCATTAGAGGCTAAGATGACAAAACAAAAGCTCTTCTACTTTGGTCACATCATGCGAAGCAAATCACTGGAGAAGGACATCATGCTTGGAATGGAGGAAGAGGACACCCAAGAGCCCGCTGGCTAGACACATCAAGGAAGATCATGATTGGAAGACATGGAAACCATTGATCCATAGAGTGACCGAGAGTCTAACTCGACTGGATGGATGATGATGATGATGATGATGATGATATAGCTGTGAGAAGAGTTTTTTTCTCTGGAAATTACTTTTTAATCGTCACCATGACCTGTCACTTTGCGTGACACATGGGATTAAACTTGCTAAAAAAAAAAAGAACTAATTAAATAGCTTAACAATCAACCAAATATATGAAATGCTAATGAAATCCTGTAAACACCCTTAACAGCAGGGGCTGCTCTCTATCTTTTCAAGGGGCCCTGGGCAAAGCTTTACTTACCAAGAAAACTGATGACTATTTAATTTCCCCCCAAACACAGGTAATTCAGGGGCCCGAGGCATCTACTGATTCTGCCTGTAGCTAGAGCTGGCCCAGCTTAACAGTTTTCCTGTATCTATATAAAGTATAATTGTTACACGCATGATTACAAGTATAAAGACTGTTTATGTAATATTTTAAAATAGTGATGTGAAATACACAGAGTGATGTGTAGCATACCTCACTTGAAGAAAATATTACAATTGAAAGTCATATTTGGGTTCTGTACAGTTACTTGGGTTTTGTGGCAGCATGACTCGAGGCAGCCCCAAAGTGATAGATAGATAGATAGATAGATAGATAGATAGATAGATAGATATTCTTCTAAAGCCTTAAATAATTTTTTATTGGCTTATCAGTCTCTAACGATTAACTTTCACTAAACCGCCCAGTTGCAGAACTATGGCACTAGCAGACCATGAAACGTCCTTCAGATGTCTCCTTACATAAGAATCACCTTTCCGTCCATGTCTACACTGTTCCGTGACTCGCCTATTGATTGCAATCCCAAAGGGCAGTCTTATCACTAGATGGAAATCATGATTCTTTTCAGTGAATCAATACTTCTTGTATTTGTTCTATTGAAATATATGCTTATTGATCTTATATATTATATTATATATTGCAGGGGTGGCATGGTGGTGCCATAGTTACAGGCCCCTCCCACTACTACAGCTCAGTGTTGAATTCCCACCCCGGCATGCGAGTTTGCATGTCCTCCCCATGTTGTCATGGGGTTTCTTCTGGATTCTCCCCCGAAGACAAAAACACATGCTAAGGCGAATTAGAGCTGCCAAATTGTCCATAGGTGTGAATGCTATGTGCCCTGAGATGGGTTGGAGCAATTCTCTTGCTCTATTGGTTCACGTTGGTAGCAAGGTACATCCACCCATTTTGGTCAACTTTCCAAAACATGTCTCAGCTGCTAGACTTCTATTTGACATATGGATACAGATATTGATTCACTGTAAATACATGGTTAACATATGATTAACGTGACAACCACTTTATCATTTGTACTACTGCATAACATTGCGTATAGCCTACCACAACTATTTTATAACTACAGCTCTTTGTGTACCAGTTGGGGCAGCTTCGAATCCCTTCCTGCAGGTGGCTCCTCCCCCCCCCCCCCCCCCCCCCCCCCCCCCCCCCCCCCCCCCCCCCCCCCCCCCCCCCCCTTCTTCGCTGCCCATCTCTCCAAGGTCTTCAGGGTCTGCAGGTACCATGAGGCAAGGACAATACAGTATTCAAAACAATCTCTTCTTGCCTAAGACATAACAGACCCAATATGCCTCCCCTCCCAGGCCTACCACTGTCAAATTTTCTTTCAATACCAAATTGCCCATAGGTATGAATGCTGTATGCCCTGAGATGGGATGGAGCTCCAGCCTGCACAGTTATTCTTAATAGTAATTGGCCATTCTAAGTCTTTGAGGTGCTTGTACATCATTACACCAGTGGGTGGCGAAAGAGAGTTTACCTCAGTCATGATCTGATCTGGTTTTAAGATGTCATTTGTGAATGAAATGAGTAATGAATAACTCACTGAACAAACGGACCAAATCAGTGGAGTCACTGAGATCATTTTGTTCACTTAAAAAAAGTATAAAAACAAGGAATCATTCATGAATGATACAAGTCTGTTCATCACAATGTCATGGAAAGGTTGATGGATGTTCTTGTCAAGATTACTTGACCAGTCTATTAATGAGGAGGGGCCAGACTATGCAGTATGGTACAATGTGGTGTTTATCATTGCCTGCTAGTTTATTTCCCCAGTTCTGGACCTGTTTAAGATGGGTGCTTATACAATTATACAGCTATATGCCACTGACAGTTTATGAGAAAATGGCTTAGTTTGCAGTTTTTCCTCTTTGCAAAATCATTCAAATCCATTTCAGTTGAATGAGGAGTGGAATATGGCTTGGTGCATTAGGGCTCCGTGCCAATATCCACAAGGTCATCAAAATCATTGTATCCCTGCTGGGCCCTTGAGCAAGATCCTTAACCTAAACTGCTGCAGGGATGCCAACTTGGCCCTAACTCTCTCACCCAAGCTTCCCTCACTCGAATATCTCCTTTGACAAAAGCAGGAAGAAATTCCCAACTAAGCAACAATAGATTTTGAATAATGCAGGCACAATTGTGTTATACATTTCTTGGAAAACTGAAAATAAGTTTTAACTTTATTTCAGGGATATTAAGACAACCTCGAAGTGGTGAAGGAATTCCTGAATGAACAGGAGTCTGTGCCCACAAGTAATGCCCATAAAACAGTCAATAATTTATTATTTTTTATAATTTGACAGCCATTTCATACGCAAGAATACGAGCTTCATTTGAAACCTTTTTTTAAATTATAAAAATTAACGAAGACATAATATCATTATAAATTTAACAACAATGATGAAGGGCTGCATCACTTTCCTGGTCAATGTGGCTTTTTAGGTAAACGCCAGTTCATCAGATAACGGCAGTGCCCTTAAGCTCCTTTCCAGCTGCGACTCTGCCCGCCTGCCTCCCCGCAGCCCTTAGCATGTGTGCCCAGAAACAACACTACGTCCCTGTCACCTCTAGTGCTTCATTACATTTTAAAGTCGAAATGAAATCGCCCAGCTTGAAACATAGCAGCAGCTGCCCAGTAGGCAGCCTCCTCTCTGTTGACCATACATCCACACATGGGCGTAAATTACAGGGGGGATGGGGGGGGGTTGCAGGCCCCCCCCCCCCCCCCCCCCCCCC